CACTACTTTTTAAACTGCAACATTAACACCCCTCCTTTAGAGTGCGGCACTGTACTTCCCCCCCCGGACTCAAATCCGGGCCTGCCGCTTTCCCTGAACCCCTTCATAAATGTTACTTTGCTCACACTCCAACGCAGTCAAGTATTAAAAAAAACCTTTTTCTCCCTTCACCCTATCAAACACGCTCACCCATGCCGCTGGAAGTCCAAGCCCCTCCACACAAAACCTCCTTTACCCCTCCCCCCAAACCCTTTCCCTAGGCCGCCCCCTACCCCGTTCCTTCACTACAAAACTGATACACTCTTGAAGTCACTCTGTTTCGCTCCATTCTCTCTACATGTCCAAACCACCTCAACAACCCTTCCTCAGCCCTCTGGACAACAGTTTTGGTAATCCCGCACCTCCCCTAACTTCCCAAATCAAAATTCTCTGCATTATATCACACCACACATTGCCCTCAGACATGACATCTCCACTGCCTCCAGCCTTCTCCTTGCTGCAACTTTCATCACCCATGTTTCCCACACCCATATAAGAGCGTTGGTAAAACTTACTCTCATACATTCCCCTCTTTGCCTCAAGGACAAGTTCTTTGTCTCCAAGACTCCTAGTGCACCACTCACCCTTTTTCCCTGATCAATTCTTGATTCACCTCATCTTTCATGACCCATCCGCTACACGTCCACTCCCAAATTCTAAATACATTCACCTCCTCCATACTCTCTCCTCCAATCTGATATCCAATCTTTCATCACCTAATTCTTTTGTTATCCTCTAAACCTTACTCTTTCCTGTATTCACTTTTAATTTTCTTCTTTTGCACACCCAAACCAAATTCATCCACCAATTTTTGCAACTTCTTTTCAGAATCTCCCAAGAGCAGTGTCATCAGCAAAGAGCAACTGTGACAACTCCCACTTTGTGTGATTCTTTATCTTTTAACTCCACCCTCTTGCGAAGACCCTCGCATTTACTTCTCTTACAACCCCATTATAAATATATTAAAAAACCCACGGTGACATCACACATCCTTGTCTAAGGCCTACTTTTACTGGGAAATAATTTCCCTCTTTCCTACATACTCTAACTTGACCCTCGCTATCCTCATAAAAACTTTCACTGCTTTCAGTAACCTACCTCCTACACCATACACCTGCAACATCTGCCACATTGCCCCCTTATCCACCCTGTCATACGCCATTTCCAAATCCATTAAATGCCACAAAGACCTCTTTAGCCTTATCTAAATACTGTTCACTTATGTTTCACTGTAAAACACCTGGTCCACACACCCCCTACCTTTCCTAAACCCTCCTTGTTCATCTGCTTCCTATTCTCCATCTTACTCTTAATTCTTTCAATAATAACTCTACCATACATTTTACCAGGTATACTCAACAGATTTATTCCCCTATAATTTTTTGCATTTTCTTTTTGTCCCTTTGCCTTTATACAAAGGAACTATGCATGCTCTCTCCCAAATCCCTAGGTACCTTACCCTCTTCCATACATTTATTAAATAATTGCACCAAACACTCCAAAACTATATCCCACCTGCTTTTAACATTTCTGTCTTTATCCCATCAGTCTCAGCTGCCCTTACCCCCTTTCATTTTACCTACTGCCTCACGAACTTCCCCCACCTCAAAAACTGGCTTTTTCCTCCACTCCTACAAGATGTTATTCCTCCTTGCCCTATACACGAAATCACAGCTTCCCTATCTCTTCAACATTAAACAATTCCTCAAAATATTCCCTCCATCTTCCCAATACCTCTAACTCCCCATTTAATAACTCTCCTCTCCTTTTTTTAACTGACAAATCCATTTGTTCTCTGGGCTTCCTTAACTTGTTAATCTCGTTTCCAAAACTTTTTCTTATTTTCAACAAAATTTTTTTGATAACATTTACCCCCACTCTCTCATTTGCTCTCTTTTTACATTGCTTCACCACTCTCCTTAACCTCTCTTTTTCTCCATATACTTTTCCCCCCTTTTGCATCACTTCTACTTTGTAAAAACTTCTCATATGCTAACTTTTTCTCCCTTACTACTCTTTTTAGATCATTCCACCAATCGCTCCTCTTCCCTCCCGCACCCACTTTCCTGTAACTACAAACTTCTGCTGAACACACTAACACTACATTTTTAAACCTACCCCATACCTCTTCGACCCCATTTCCTATGCTCTCATTAGCCCATCTATCCTCCAATAGCTGTTTATGGCAGCAGCACTGCAATTTTCCACGCGTGCTCAACCAAAAATAAAAAAATTATGGAAATTGATTTATATATACCGAAAAATAGCTTAACTCTTTGGCAACACAATGGTACAAGAATCAATGTTCTAAGACGTTTCTACAAGAAATTATAGTCATTTATATCAGGTATGGTAACGGCGATGTAGGTAGCGCGTCTGTTCTCAACCCATGTATTTTTTGGAATTTTTTCCTTGTTTTTTATTGCTTTTTTCTTTGCATTATTCTTTCTATATAATAATTGATTTATTTGGCATCATATTAAGAGTAGGTGGAGCTTATCAGTAGAGTGCCAGCCAATCGGAGCCATCTGAGAACACTCGGCAGTACTCCCCCTCCAGATGGTGCCAGGTGAAATCACTTCATTATTACGTTTATATCAGCTTATATATCAACTATACGGCTTATTTGTCTATCAGAATTGATCTAATATGATATAATAAACACTATAAATAACAAACAAACATGTTATATACTCTAGACTGAATAAAATAGGCCATAATATAGAGAGAGTCCACCAGCAATATTTCGATATAAATGTGTTACTCCTCGTCTCCTTGTTCTATTGTTTGGTATGTGAGTGATAGAAAACGGTATTTTGAAGAGGATAACTGCACTAGAACATCAGTTTACTAAGAAATACACCGAAAAAAACGCGATTTCCGCGCAAAAAATTTTTTTTTTGAGACGGTAGGCCTGCCGGCGTTCTAGGCCTATATCTCGGAAGTAACTTTTTCACATATTTCGCTAATGTACACCATTATTAATTATTGTATTGAAATGATTTTCACTGACAATATAAAACAGTGTGTTTGAAAATGTGAGGCTTCTTTTTTTGGAATATATCAAATATTTTTGATTTTGTGGGAGGTAAAAGGCAGATATTTTGGTGAATGCCACAAAGTCTATCAAAAGTATTTTTTTTTTTCCATGATAATAAGACACATTAGATGAAACATGTCCCGCCCAAATTAGTGTCGGATGTATTCTAACGGTTGGGATTGTCGGAAGTGCCACTCGAAGTGCCATTTTGTCATACCTTGCTGCCATATATGAAAAGTCATTAAATATTTTTTTCTGTTTGTTGGCCAATCATACTGATACTTTGTCACATTCTTCTACATATGAACCTCTAAATGTACACCAAAAATAAAAAAAATTGGTTGAAAAATAAAAGAGTTGGCCAAAATTGGAAATTCCCCCCTTAAATCTTACCCTAACTGCCTCCTCTTTTAGTTTATAACCTTCACCTCTCTCTTCCGGATGCTTCTATTCTCCTTGTATCCCATCTACCTTTTACTCTCAGTGTAGCTACAACTAGAAAGTGATCTGATATATCTGTTGCCCCTCTATAAACATGTACATCCTGAAGTCTACTCAACAGTCTTTTATCTACCAATACATAATCCAACAAACTACTGTCATTTCGCCCTACATCATATCTTGTATACTTATTTATCCTCTTTTTCTTAAAATATGTATTACCTATAACTAAACCCCTTTCTATACAAAGTTCAATCAAAGGGCTCCCATTATCATTTACACCTGGCACCCCAAACTTACCTACCACACCCTCTCTAAAAGTTTCTTCTACTTTAGCATTCAGATCCCCTACCACAATGACTCTCTCGCTTGGTTCAAAGGCTCCTATACATTCACTTAACATCTCCCAAAATCTCTCTCTCTCCTCTACGTACCTCTCTTCTCCAGGTGCATACACGCTTATGACCCACGTTTCGCATCCAACCTTTACTTTAATCCACATAATTCTTGAATTTACACATTCATATTCTCTTTTCTCCTTCCATAACTGATCCTTCAACATTACTGCTACCCCTTCCTTTGCTCTAACTCTCTCAGATACTCCAGATTTAATCCCATTTATTTCCCCCCCACCGAAACCCCTACCCTCCCCCTTCAGCTTTGTTTCGCTTAGGGCCAGGACATCCAACTTCTTTTCATTCATAACATCAGCAATCATCTGTTTCTTGTCATCCGCACTACATCCACGCACATTCAAGCATCCCAGTTTTATAAAGTTTTTCTTCTCTTTTTTAGTAAATGTCTACAGGAGAAGGGGTTACTAGCCCATTGCTCCCGGCATTTTAGTCGCCTCATACGACACGCATGGCTTACGGAGGAAAGATTCTTTTCCACTTCCCCATGAACAATAGAAGAAATAAGGAAGAACAAGAGCTATTTAGAAAAAGGGAGAAAAACCTAGATGTATGTACAGTAGACCCCCGCATAACGATTACCTCCGAATGTGACCAATTATGTCAGTGTATTTATGTAAGTGCGTTTGTACGTGTATGTTTGGGGGTCTGAAATGGACTAATCTACTTCACAATATTTCTTATGGGAACAAATTCGATCAGTACTGGCATCTGAACATACTTCTGGAGTGAAAAAATATCGTTAACCGGGGGTCCACTGTATATATATATGCATGTGCGTGTCTGTGAAGTGTGACCAAAGTGTAAGTAGGAGTAGCAAGATATCCCTGTTATCTAGCATGTTTATGAGACAGAAAAAGAAACCAGCAATCCTACCATCATGCAAAACAGTTACAGGTTTCTGTTTCACAGTCATCTGGCAGGACGGTAGTACTTCCGTGGGTGGTTGCTGTCTACCAACCAATATTTATTGATAATTCTATATCACTTTATTTCATTGGTGTGCACAATGTTTTATATTGTTGATTACTCTTCTGATTTTTTTATTATTTTTTTTTATTTTTCAGGCTAAAGAGGTCCTGGCAAAGGAGAGTAATGTTCAAGAAGTAAAGTCTCCTGTCACAGTGTGTGGAGATGTTCATGGACAGTTTCACGACCTTATGGAACTCTTCAAGATTGGTGGGCGGTCTCCAGACACAAATTATCTTTTCATGGGAGACTATGTTGATAGAGGCTATTATTCTGTAGAGACTGTCACATTGTTAGTCTGTTTAAAGGTGAGTCACATCAAATTAGTTGTTAATCTGTGTTATCAATAATGATTATAAATTTGCAAACCTAATTAAAATTATTAGACAAGTTTGTAACTAAAGTAGGATCCAACAAATTTTTGCCCTATTAATAGAGCTCATAGGGATGACTTCACTGAAGCAAGAGAGATGCTGAGTGGTAAAAATGTCTGGAAGTCCCTTAGCAAAGGAAAGAAAACATGCATACCAAATAGAAAACGTGTTAACCCTTTCAGGGTTTCCGACGTGCTAGTACGGCTTGCACACCAGGGTTATTGACGTACTAGTACGCCTAAATTCTAGCGCCTTCAAATCTAGGGAGAGAAAGCTGGTAGGCCTACATATGAAAGAATGGGTCTGTGGTCAGTGTGCACAATATAAAAAAAATCCTGCAGCACACAGTACGTAATGAGGAAAAAAAAACTTTGACCGTGTTTTTGGTTTAAAACAGCGACTTTGCACTGTATTTTAGTGTGGTATTTATGGTTGTATTCTAGTTTTCCTGGTCTCCATTTATAGAATGGAAGACATATTACAGAAATTGAGATGATTTTGATTGGTTCCACAATGAAAAGTACCTTGAAATTCAGCTCAAAGTAGCAGAAATGTTCGATTTTTGCTTAAGTTCAAAAGTAAACAAATCATGCCACGTGTCCAATACATATCAACTGGTGACTCTAATATTCTTTCACAAGTGCACTGATATTATTTATACATTTCTACACTAATACAGTAGTCTGCATAACAGTAAATCTTCTATTTTTTGTGAGAATAAAAATTAAAAGTGGAAAGCAAAAGAAATGTAAGAGGGGGGTGGGGATGTGACTAATGAGCAGAGGAAATGTTATTTTAGTGCCAGGGATGTCTCTTGTTTATTCTGAACCCTATTTGGAAATTGGCATCTTTTGAAATTTGTGTGAAATTGACCAAATTGCTAATTTCTGACCACTTTATTGGATAGTTGAAATCGGTAAATGGGTGGTTTCTTGTACTCATTCATTAGAAAAAAATGGAGTTCTAGCGAAATAGTTATGATTTTTGTCGACTAGTACACTGGAATTGGATGAAAATAGGGCTCAAAGTGGGTGAAGTCGCCGATGCGTAAACATCGTCGAGACCGCTAACTTCACGAGAGCATAATTCCGTAAGTCTTCCATCAAATTTCATACTTTTGGTGTCATTGTGATCGGGAAAAGATTCTATCTTTTCATAAGAAAAAAAAAAATTTTTTCCGAAAAATTTTCAACCATGAGAACAAGTTTAGGAGAGGGCCCCTTGACCCTGAAAGGGTTAAGGAACTAGAAATCCATTCAAATTGAGGAAAATCCAAAATTATTATTTCATATGCAGAATACAAATAAACTTCCAGTATTCTTGCTCCTATGTGGAGGAGGTACATACACTGTACAGGTGTTAACAAAGAAAGAAGTGAAATCCCAAAAGAACAGTATTAGTCAGTATTTAGCATATACGTACATGTACTGGGCTTATTAGTTTTCAGTGGATTGTTGCACAACCTTGATGAGGTAGAAGCAAGGAAGTTATGCCAATGAGAATATAAAGCAAAACGATAAAGTTCTGCAGACTAGGTGAATATTGGTATTTATTGAGACAAAAGAAGGCAAAATATTGTTTGGTGGAATACTGGGGCATTTGGGAACATTTTGAACTTCTTAGTGAGTGTTGTTAACCAAAAATGGGGATCAAATTAGAAAAAGTAACGAAGGGAGGAGAGTTCAAAAGAGCTACTTGCAACTTGAGTTGAATGCAGAGCAAACTAATATCAGTTAAATGTGAGGTGGGTGGAGGCGCAGAAACAGGCCTTCTTTCTCTCATGAGGCAGTCAGATATCTGTTAAGTGTTCGGCACATATAAAGACCCCAGTATAGGTCAGTGTAAGGAAAGTGTACTTTTTTAAAGTCCATGAGTTTTTTTTTGGG